CTTCACTATTTAACGATTAAATGGATAATCGAGACTATGCTGTTTATCGTACTGACTTTAGTATCTTTAAACTTTATTATCACTTTATTAGATTTATGTACCTTACATGTAATTACAATGTACATCTACATGTACATGTATGTTGCTGGCTAACCAAACTAACCAGACGGTCTTGTGTTCAATCCCGATGTTGGCACACATACATGTACACATACTTCCTCGCGATATTTAAAGCATGTTGTCCCCTTGTCAGAGGTGCGGGAACAGTGCACGTAAAAGAACCATTGACAATTGGATTTCCCTCATACATTGTACATGTAACCCACTACATATTGGCGTACATACATGACATACATGCCTGTCTTTATTAGCCCATTTGGTGATGGAAAGCAGGATGTCAAACACTATTGCACCTAGCTAGAGCATTCCCTAGTGGATTTAATAGTTGCAGGATGCAAATATCATTATTATTATTAGCATTTCAGGTTACATGTAAAATCTTACACAACCAAAATAACTGTACATGCCAAGTCAGTGTCGCACTAAAAGTGTTGTTTTAGCAACAACTCTGAAAAGCATTGAATAAAGTCTGATAGAAGGAACAATTTTCTTCTGAATATTAGGAATTATATTCTGATGTACATGTCCTTGAAAACGATGAGAGAATACTTGTCGAAACGTTGTGCCATATATTTGTTCAACCGGTACTTGTTTCCATTTAAATAAATTGGGTTGCATTTTGTCTTATTGTACACATGTAAACACAGCCCAAAACATGTACATGTATATAAACCTCTAAGTATCGTAAGTTTTGTTAATGTCTAGCTTGTAATCATAACTTCACTTAGTCTTTGATCTCTTTTATATGTTTTAACAGAATATGAATTCTTGTTATTGTGGCTTATTCTACATTTTTATACTTAAATGCTTACTCCCAGTTTTTTATATCATATTATCGTTTACCTTGTGCTTGATAACGACAAGAGGATACCTGTTGAAACGTTGCACTATTAAGGTTGCCAGTGAATGTTATTTCAATGTCATTCCTATCACTAAATGTCTTATAAACAAAATACTCTCAGTTATTGTAGTAATTTAGGAAAAAATATTTCAAAATTTACAAATATGTTACACATGTAATCTCCCATCACACATTATATATATATATAATCTTATAAAATATTCCTGGAAAAAAGCCATCAACAATACCTCATAGTCACAATTTAATTATTCTCTTCCAGTCTGGAAATAAGGCTCTTATCCCAGGCATTATCAGACACAATCTCTCTGGTTTTTTTGTCTGGCCATAATTTATCTTTTTTTTGTCTGTGTTTTCATTGATATCATGTCCAGCAACAATTTTGGTTAAAATTAAAACACAGATCTTATTTCGTTTTGTTTTTTTATAGTTCAAAAATCTGTTTTACTTGTCTTTACTATACTAGGATCTGGAAGAGTTGTTATATAACCTGCGTTCTGGATGATGTGAGGGATTAGCCAATGAAACGGTCTGTTATGGCGTGTTTTTGGCGTGAGGTGCACAGAACTGTGGGTAATTAACTAGAAATATCAACGGTGACTGATTAATCAAATGTCTGACGTCATAGGGTCCAAGTCGCTTGTGTGACCTTTGACGGAACCTTCCACTACATGTACAACCGCTCAGATCTTCATGTAGAGGCCATCGAAGGTATAAAATCAGCGAAACGAAATATAGATCTGTATTCTAATCAGATTGCTCTAGCAAAAAGTTCTAAATGACAAGAGTATAGTACACAGTCTGTCAAGCCTGGAGAGAGAGAGAGAGAAATGGCACTCAAGCTAAGTGGTCATTTCGGGACCAACATATGGTTTAATTTCATTTCAATAATTCGCTTGCGCGTAGGGGTCTTTAGCAGTGGGAGGAAACCAGATGACCCGGAGAAAACCCACGAGGTTGGACAGGCGACCCAACTCCTTGTCACGTTCAACCGGGGATTCGAAACCACGCCAGTGGACTCAATGACAGGCTGTATGATATAGCACGCACGTACTAACCATTCGGCCATCCAAACCCCCTGTCAAGCCTGGAAATAAGGTGCCTGTCATGGACAATGTCAGACACAGATTCAGGCTCTGTCAGGCACCAAACCAGTGGTGCCTGACGTCTTATCCGGCACTGATTTGTCTTTTTTATTGATATTATTAATACATGTCCGGCACTAAGTTGAAAATGTCAGGTACTATTTCATTTTGTCAGTACATCTAAAATCATTATTTCCAGGGCCCTTATTCACGAAAACTTAAACTAAGCTACAATCGAAATTTTAAGAAATACTGCAACTTCATTGGATATATGCAAATTGATTTTACTGGTCAGCCAATCGAATTGCAGTATTTCTTAAAATTTTGATTGTATATCTTAGTTTAAGTTTTCGTGAATAAGGGCCCAAGTCTGTACACAGTACTAGTGCAGTAGTGTCTAGCATGTTTTCAGGTACAAATAACATCTTTATTTCCAGTCCAGGTCTGATTTTCTGTTATTAAATACACATACAAGTACAATGCAATGTTCAGGGATGTGACAAATTTGTATTGTATTTTAAATATTTTAACTGGAATTTCTCTAACAACTTCAATTTTTTTTACAATACACGGTTTTGTTTGACACTACTGTGCACTGAGGTCATGAAAATATACCAGAGTAGAATTCTGGGCCATTTAATTTGATTCACATTAAAATCATTTAACAAAGAAAATATGTTGTTAATCTGCCGCTTTTATGCCCATATGGGTTAGATTTGGGCATATTTAGGATTTTTTTGATAGTATTTATTTAGTGTGAATCCTGCCTACATTGAACCGGTCTGAAAATAGATCGTAGCCATAACATTTTTCACAAATATACATTTGTAAAACGTTGGTGCAAGTACATGTACATAAAACAAATTGTCATCATATTATTTTAGTATCTGTCAAAATTTCAGACATACATGTAACGGAAGTTGTAAATTGAATATGACAATTTTGACTTTGTGCAAGACTTTAAACATACCAGTACATTATGCAAGAGCTAAATCTGCCTATTGCAGGTCTTTCTCTAGGCCTGAAATATTTTCTAAATTATTAATTAGATATTAATTAACTTATCCAAGTCACAATCAACTCTCGATGGCATGGTACATGTATTTCTCCGATATTAAATAGATTAGAACAGTTCAGCCATATTTTGTTTTAAACTAAAAATGGAGAAGCGAGACTTGGCTTCGAACAACCAGTATGGTGGTTGAAATTATTCCACAATGTCAAACCTTCAAAAGCTAATATCTTCACTCGCAATAGAGTAATTTGAATTAAATTTTCAAATTATTCTTTTTACATTATCTATTTTCGAACTATTATAGCAAGAATGGCTAGCTCTTTATCTAAATCTTACATAATGTATATATCTTTAAATATATCAAGAAATTTAGTGGATATAGGCAAATCTTTGACTGACAAACTGGTGATGACTGATGAGTGGTAATATTTTGGCAGGAAGTTCATTCTAATATCTTGCAGGATTGAACAGACAAATAAATATACATGTACATGTGATGTGTGTATAAGATAAGACGCATGTACACCCCCCTCCAAAAAACAATAGAAGGAAATAAAAATATGTCTGTATTGTTTAGAGAGAGATTAATTGGGAATTGACAAAATATGTGACAATGTTGACAGTCTAACACCTGATTGAACTGCCACTAAGATGTAGGATTTAATCAACTCAATATTAGTTTTTATACTGTACACATGTTGTACAAGCCTACTGTATTATATATTGTACTGATGCCAAATACACTCAAAAATATTTATGTACACACACATGTATGAATGTTTTTATCAAAAGATTTAATGTATAATTTAACTTGAATGGACGAGAAACAATTTTTGAACTATAACTTAAAAGCATTTTGATTGTGCATGTATGTGTAGCCTACTGTTTCAATTGAAACCAAATGAAATGGGGTTTAACTAACGTCCTACTTTTTTGCAATATCCAAACTGTAAACATTTAAAGTACATGCAGTTTGCCTGAAATAAATCTGTATTCCTTTCAGTTTGGTTTAAGATAATCTTATACATGTAGTGGCAAGAACATCATGTTAAGGTCAACACCGTCAAATAGAACAAACCAACAGTGAGGCTGATGTCCCCAGTCGAAATCCCCAAATAAATAGATGACAAATACATGTATTGATTAATTGCACATTTACATGTATCTTTTTCAAAAGTATCGAGCAATCGAACGGATTATCTATACTCAGTCAAGGTTTTGAAGTAGGCCGACATGTACCTGGTGGTGAAGCTATACATTAAGTTTCATCACTCTCCATCAGTTAGAATCAAAGTTATCTTATCCAAAAGCATCGACCAATCAGTTAGAATAAAAGTTATCTTATCCCAAAGCATCAGGGAAATGTTAATTATTAAACTTAGTCAAGATATTCACCTTTACGAGTGGGGAGATCAATTCTAAAAGGATAAACCTATATACCATAACAAACTAATGCTGTTTATAACTTGATAAACCTATCACAAGCTAATGCTGTTTATAACTTGATGAGGATGTAACATCAATCTTCCTTTTGTGGGTTCTGTAGAGGGAGCCACATGGATGTCCCATGTTCGAAACCAGTGTTGAACGGTGGTCCATTAAGTAGAGTGAGGGCTCCCCAACCATGATTTTCTGGCATGGGTTCCCTATGTTTCTAATCAGTCGAATGGGATGAAAAACTTAGGTTCTGTGTATACATGCATGTTGGCACGCGAGTAACAGAACCCTTAAAAGTTGGTATTTGAAATAAAGAGTAACTAATCTTCATTAGCCTAGTTGGTGTAGAAAAGTAGGAAGTTTAGTTATATGTAATTAATTCCCATTTCCCAATATAGAAATTGTTGTTGTATTCGTATCATTTACATGATGAATGTGATAATAAAGCTTCTATCAAGGAAATTATTTACATCAAATTTCTTACCTTATAAACTTGTCCATAAGTTCCATTACCAACAACTTCTATCAGATCGAATATTCCAGCTGGATCCTGTATAAAATCAAGGTAAATATATGGAATTTCAGACAAATTGAAATTTAGAGAAGAAATGTTATTTACATGAACGTAGAATAATGTGGGCCTACATGTACATACATTATAAGCTGGAAGATTGTACAGTATATATAGACAAACATCTACAGTATAATTTACATACATACATGTACATGTAAATAATGTTATGGGAAAAAAATTCAATTGAACCTCATGTCAAAGCTGACAGAAAGGCTACATTTTTTTTTTCATTTATCTCAGCATTCTTTGAAACTGATCGAACCAAAGCTAAAAATTTATGCATTGTTGCAGTATAGTGACATTAGAAAACGACTGAGTTGGTGATACTGAATTCCATACTAAATTTAGGCAGTCTGTCTACATGTAGTTGATCAACATTTTAATTTAAGTCCTAAATCGACGATTCTAGTCGATAACACTAAGTATACTTCGAGAATTTTGTTAAGTATTTATTCTGCTTCCATTTAATAAAATTGAAAAAAGTTTATTTAGTCTTTGTGTGTATGACATGTGAAACGGAGTAGAACCGAATTACAAAACAGTATACTATTTTGGGGGATGTGGCAGCCATTTACATTGTACATGTGGGGCAAAGATCTATTCTCAAAGTATGGATACATGTATCTATGTGCAGAATGCCTGAATTCTTGTCAATATGACATCATTCGTCTGCACAAACGGTCTGTACACTGTAAATACATGTACTGGTAGTACATGTATGTAAGACCCAGTTTTACAATGTACTTGGTTACAGTACTTCTGTATAAATAGATAACAGCAATAGACTACATACTATCGTGTAAAAAGGATGTGTTTACAAGAGTAACAGGGACAGAACATGTCCATTGACTTTTCATGCAAAACAGTGGTTTGCTCACATGAGACTGTTGAGTTAAAGGCAACAAGGACTGATTAGTAGTGGGGAAAAATGTATCATAAATAAGTCCCTGTCAGGCACAATCCCCTTCTCTTGTCAGTCATTTTGTCTGGCACAGATTTGTCAATTTTTCTGTGTTTTTACTGGTCACCTTAATACATCTCTGGCACAAAGTTCATAATATCAGGTACAAGTACTACTATGTACATGTACCATAGTTATTAGTGCCAGACATTTTGTCATCATTATTTCTCGGTCTAATCATAAATAAGGCTTTCTGTTTATCAGTAAATGAAACACTAGTATTTTTTTTTTTTTTTACATGTACATTGCACAGTCCTACTCACAACTCTGAAATGGCACTCAGGTTAAGTTTTATAAAAAGCTCAACAGTTCAGCACTGAACAGAATCAACGCACCCTTGATACTCTAGAGAGAGAGAAATGGGGTTTAACGTCCACTCGACACATATTACGTCATTTCTTGACTAAAATATAGTTCAATTTTATTTGAATAATTCGCTTGAGCCTAGGGGTCTTTAGTAGTGGGAGGAAAGCAGAATACCCTAAAAAAATACACAAGGTTCGATGGGCAACCCTACTCCTTGTCATGTACAATCGGGAAATCGAAACCATGCTAAACTACTCAATGACAGACCTTCTTATTCAATGTGCACGTGTCAACCATTGACAACCATTCAGCTACCCCCCACCCTCTCCTTGATGCTGTAGTCTCATTATTATATAACAATACATGGTCACAGACCATTAATGACATCAGAATTCAATAAGATTGATAAGTTGAAATTCTTGTAAACCAAAATATGTATTATCTTAGAAAAGTGTTGCTTCCAAAAATAACAGTTAATGATAGTTCTTAAATCGCTTATAAAGGAATTTATATTTATGATGATACATGAATTACTGCCTAACTACATGTATCTTGATAACTTTCAGCATCTATCAATATGAATTCACTATGACCCTAAGATCTCCATGTGCTGTCCCTCTGTGACAGTTTATTCATACATTATTAACTGCTGAAAGTTACTTAGAAGCCAGCTATCTGTCATTAGATTAGTATCAATTAAAAGTATTAATTAATTATGATTTTGATTTATCACAGATCATCGATCAGATAAGGATTAATTGATTATTTTTCCATGGTGTTATTCTAGCATATATAGTAATATTAAATAACTACAAAAGTTACAGTAAAAGACAAAAAAGTTAATAGGCTTAGTTCTGGTCAAAAATTGAAGTGTATGAGTCAGTCTTTGATTGAAAATGAATGTTATGAAAACAGGGACGGGCACCTGCTTTGTTGACAAAGAAAGATCCCTTCAAAATCGTTTGTCCCTAAGTTCCTATACAAATTTCATTTTCCCAAAAATATGATAAAAGTGCACTTTTATGAATAAGTTATAGAAATACATACCCGTAGGCTAGATAAATCTATATCATCTAGACTGACATTAACTGATGTTTGTGTCGCCATTTTGAGTCTGGGATATGAACATTCAGACAGTCCCTTCCGTCCAGACAAGCCCTCTTGATCTCCGATTTACTCCTTTATTTGAGGTACAACTAGGTCGTAAATCTTTCCATTTAGAGATGAACAATCCCTCTATCTCTTGCAATCTTTCTCGAGAGAAAAATATCACTTGCAAACGATTAAAATAACATGATAAATGCTCTATTTACTGATCAAATTTTCGGCTATTCCCAAGCAATAACTGCATTCTGGGTAAATCTCACAAGGGAAATCACTCAAACTAAAATCATCATGGACGGATCAAACGGGTTTTATTTGCAATTATTCACAGCATCGGTGTCTGTTTATTGTAAGATTTAGTCGGAAGGCTAGTTGACAGTTTCGCAAAGTTAAATTAAAACATGAATAAAACCTAGGAAATGTTTTTTTAACCAAATAACAACCACTTTGTAAAGGTTACATGCCAAGGGAAATAACTCCATTGCTGTGCTTATTTTGAAGGATGACAAGCAGATGACAGATCCTAAAAAAATTTTCAAGGAGTGATTTATTTTTACCACTTACAAATTGAAATACGAATCGCTCACTTGTGGGCACCTTAAAATTTTCAAGGAGTGATTTATTTTTACCACTTACAAATTGAAATACGAATCGCTCACTTGTGGGCACCTTAAAATGGTGATAATGTAGACCGACCTCCTGATTAGTTTATCAGTTTTTGTCTTTCATGCCCTTTTTTCTTTGCGAGAAAGATCCCTAGGATTTTCTAGTGTGGTTTCCCCATGTCAGTGGTACAGGATTGAGAGCTAGACAAGGTACAGCTTTTGTTCAGAAAAATTGAGGTCCTGTGTATAGGCATGTATAGCCTAGGCCTAGTTTATCCGTTTTTGTCTTTCATGCCCTTTTTTCTTTGCGAGAAAGATCCCTAGGATTTTCTAGTGTGGTTTCCCCAAGTCAGTGGTACAGGATTGAGAGCTAGACAAGGTACAGCTTTTGTTCAGAAAAATTGAGGTCCTGTGTATAGGCATGTATAGCCTAGGCCTACACGTAAATGAACACTTGACAGTTGGTTATACACAAATTTTAATGAATTTAAAATAAAATAAACAAATGAAACTGATTCCATAGTTGCGAAGAAATATATACCAGTATTTTAAAACAAATCTGTCTGAACCTGATGACACAATATATAGGCCTACTGAATTTGTGCTGAATCTCTCTGAGCTTGGTAGCTTCACAGCATTCATGTGACAAAGTTTAAAGTCGCGATACTTCATAAACCCCTGCCTCCTCTATTGCTGAACTGTCTGTTATTATTTGCCCAACATGTACCGGTAACTGTTTCCCATCATTGGTATTACAATCTGGGGGCTTTGATTGGTATCCGTATTAGCATTGCATACATGTTTTGAGTTTTACTACTTTGTCTCTTTTTAATTATTAGTAGTAGGTCTTAGTAGTAGAGACATATAGCAATGGGGTTTTGTGTCCAATCAACACAAACTAGGTTATCTAAAGGCCAATGCATTTTTATTTCAATAATTTGCTTGTACGTAGAGTTCTTATTAGCCCACTTGGTCACACAACTCCCCATAATCTTTCCATTAAAAATACATTATTCAAGAGCTAAATTTGCCTATTTTGAATAATATTGTATTCAAAAGAACTGTCTTACTTTAAACTCTTAAAGGTACATTATTTATTCAACAGCTAAATTTGCCAATTGCTGGTCTTTCTCAATACCATCAGATGCTCGAGATTTTAACTAGATTAGAACGGTTCGGCCATTTAATGATTTAATTTAAAAATGTAGGAGGTAGTCTAAGTCTCAGATATACTAGTACCATGGTTACGATATTAAACAATCAATGCATACATCTTGTCAAAACTACAAACAGTGATAACTTGGCTCAGAATCAAGTAATTTTAATGAAATTTTCAATACATTCATTTTGCATTATCTATTTTGAACTATTATAACAAGAACGGCTAGCTCTTTATTTAAATCTTGTATAATGTATCTTTAATGATCTTTTTTCTTTTATAGCACAACAAAATATAATATTAAACACAAACAACAGTTTTTATTTATTTCATCGACAATGTGTTTTAACAGGACATGAATGTACATATAGCATAAAGTCAAGCCTGGAAATAAGGTACCTGTCACTGACAATGTCAGGCACAGATTCAGGCTTTATCAGGCACTATACCTCTGGTGCCTGTCGGGCAATGATTTTTGTTCTTTTTTATTAATATTATTAATACATGTCCCGGCACTAAGTTGGAAATGTCAGGTACTATTTTATTAATGCCTGACATTTTGTCAGGTACATGTAAAACTGTTATTTCCAGGCCTGCATACAGTTCAATTTTAATTTTTATCTGATTTTATTTATGTAAAAAAATATATCATATGAACATTATTTCATTAAAGCAAAGAACCACGAATGTACATGGGCATATATTTATAATTTGATTAAAAACACAGTTGTCTGGGTAAGGAGAACCATGGTGGCTCGGTGAATGAGGCGCTGGCTCACTAATCAGGAAGTCTAGGGCTGTAAGCGCCACTGTCAGGGCAAAATTTTCCCTCTTTTTTCACACCGCATGGTGTATGCCATCTTTATTAGCCGATTGACGCAGAAAGGAAGGATGTTACTCAATTTCATTTTATTTCCTTAGGTAAGAGCAAATATGCTTTTTTTATACATAAATCATCAAATTATGCTATAAAAAATTCTATTACATGTAACTGAACCCTTGGCAGTTGAAATTTGATATGAGTAGGCAAAATCCCTCATAGCACACTGTATGACATCTTCATCACCCCAGTTGGAGCAGAACAGTAGGATGTTGAACCCCATTTCATTTCATTTTCTGTTACACCAATATACATGTAGTCTACAGGAACTTCTGTAACAGGTTTATTAACTATTTATGTATCACATTTCTACGACACCACAATCATAACTTACAATATAACATAAGGTTGTCTGCGATATCACCTGCATGGAAGCAAACAGAGGGAGATGGGGGTTTAACGTCTGCTCGACACAATAGGTCATTTCGAGACAAACATATGGTTAAATTGTAATTTGCTTGCACATAGGGTCCTTTAGTAGTGGGAGGAAACTAGAGGACCAGAAGAAAACCAACGTGGTTGGACAAACATCCCTACTTCTTGTTACATTCAAGCGCGAAACTGTAACCACACCACTTGACTCAATGACAGACCTTATGATCCAAAATGGTGGAAGTAAACGTTAAATCCTCACAAAGAAACGATGTAACATAAATTTTAGGTCTTAATCTGTAAGGTAGTAAATCCACAAATCGTACAAGACATTAACACAAGCAAGTAATTTATGGCCAGTGACATTAATTAAAATAAACATTTGTCTAAACCAGTGGTTTTCAAAGATTCCAGATACAAAAATAAATTTATAATTACATAACATAGTCTTTTACTTTTGACCAACGCCAATGATTACTGATATACCATAACAGATTATGTACGTATTACATACGTGTAACTAAGCTATGTTTCATTTTATATTTTTTAATTGCACCATTTCTTTTGTGTAATATTTGCCTAAATATAACATATTTATTAGAAATTTTATATATAGTGCGCCTACAATTTTTTGTAGGATTTCAAGACAAAAAAAGTTTGAGAACCACTGGTCTATAACATAACAAAGACTAGCTAAAATTTCATTACATATGACAGAATGATAAAATAACTGTACAAAATATGTTTCTTTTGTTTTGAAATGATAATGAATGTTGGCATGTCTGAAAATCAGACTGGTGATTTTGATTTCATGACAGTCCACAATACTCCACAAAGAAGAATTTAAAGAGACACCTTAACTTTGATTATCATCAGCCGTGCAGTAGCCTTCCGCAGAAAATTCCTGGTAAAATACGCAATTTGAAGTATGTCCTAGAAAAGGAACACATTCCACAGAAAAAATGCATCTTAGCATCATTCTGAAAGGGGAGGGGGGAAATAGCTCTTAGAACTTGGATGTGGCTAGCTACAAGGGAAAAGTACATACATAATTCTTTAAATCTGTCGAATAATCTGCCATTCCATTGCTGAGATAATCAAATAATTCCATAGTTATTTTGAATATGTTCAGACGGGACGAAAAAAACGTGGTCCCGTGTACACATTGGAGTATACGTGACTAAACCCTTGACAATTGGAATTTGAGTCTTATAGCGTCACTGTCCAGGAAACATTTCTCACAGCACACTGGATGGCATATATGCCTGTCTTAATTAGCCCAGTCGGTGCAGAAAGGTGGGATATTAAACACCATTTCATTCATTAAAAATTTTGAATATATTATAATAAAATTAATTAACAATATATATATATATAATGTTTTGGCTAAACAGTATAATTCCTCTTTAAAACCTCTGATTAAAGTGATAATTCATATTTTCTAAGAAAGCCAAAACATAATTATTTCTATGTCTTTTGCTCAATAGGTTGTCAACTCACTTTTATACAATTATAGGAATTATTATCCCTCTTAAAAATCCTTTGACCCCGGAAATAATAACACAATTACCTCCCTTGTTTTTCTATTTCCCCCCATGGAATAGCTATCTTCAAACGTTTGAATTTAAAGTTGAAAATTATATTTTTGCCAATTTCTCAACTGGCAATAGTGAATTATAGGATTATTCTTTAACAAGGTAGGACTGTTTATAGATACCATCTATTTTAAGGCTTTATTTTAATAAATTTTAAAAATATAACTTAAAAATATGAAATTGCAGCTTTAAAAGCATTACCGTGAGCACTGATTTACAATTGATTGAAATAAGCTGACATTTTGAATTACTTATGATACGATAAAAGTCTGCCTTTGAAGATTTGAAATTATTCAAGATATTCAAGGCCATATATAAAAAAAAAAAATTCTTGTTCACAGATACTGCAACATCAATAACCGAATCACCTATTTTTTTTTTTTTTAAAAATATATTCTTACAAATTACTTCACATTTCTAGTTCTCACATCAAAGGGAAGTAACTGAACATTATTTCTTTGACAAAATAATTTTTTTAAAAAAACCCTGCATTAGTTTTTATGAAAGGATTGTCTGTTAAACTGGATATTTGTTTTGTATGGTCTAATGCTCTGCCTGTTCCAATAAATGCTACTAATTAAATTAATCAGAGATCAAAACGGGAATTAAAAACATTTAATTTCAAACGTTAACTTCATGCGTTCATCTTC